AATCTTTAACAAAGGATAATATAATTGAAGCTTTTTATGCTGCCGACTATTTTCAATTACCAGATCTTCAGGATTTTATTGTGAAAAATTTTAAAAATACATTAAAAAAAAATAACAATGGAAATTATTCACCGGAACTACTGTCTAAATTTGCGGGGAAAATGCCATTAACAGAAGATAATATTCTTCTTAATTTATTAATCGAAGAAATAGCAACTATTTTATTAAATGATATTGAAATTGGTCGATTATCTATTACAGCTCTTCAATATTTTTTATTTTGTACATACGAAAAAGAAATACCTTTTGCGACACCAGAATACGAAGTTTTTCGTTACAGTGCTATTCTTGCAGCAAAGCAAATTTCTGATGATACATATAAAGCTCTAATGAAACAGTTGCCAACTTTAGAGCAAATAGATAACTTGATTCAAGTAGAAAATAAACTTATTGTAAATCATCAAAAAGTTGCTGAAGAATTGGAGCCTTTGATCGAATATATTGATTTTAGGCGAATAAAAAGAGGACAAATTGATTTCATTGAACCATTAAAAGTTATTCCAGCTGAAATTATTCAACATAATTCGGAATTAATTGATTCAGATTTAAACAATATTCGAGGAATACCAATTTATAGATTTAAAGAATCTGAACTTTTTTGGGATAGGTTAGGAAGTGGATCAAAAGCTATTATTGAGAATAACGGAAAAGTTGTATATGCACCAAATGATCTTAATTCGTGGAGAATTGTTAGAGCTAAAATGTTATTAGAAAATAATGGTATTTATGAATGGGATATTATTATTGAAAAAACTTGTTTCTGGTCTTGGGTTGGAGTATGTGCATCAAAAAATTTTGATTATGAAAATCCTGCAGGAAGGCAATCTTCTGGATGGGTATTAGGTACCAATGGTTATTGTCGTAATTATGATTATGAAACATACTACTGTCCGTCATTTCACGAAGATGGTGCAAGAATTACAGTTCATTTAGATATGAATAAAAGAACTTGTTCTTTTACAG